ACTGTGAAGAAAACGGTGGAGAAAGCTACGTAAGATAATACTTGCTTCTGCTGTTGTTATTAATTTACAAGCGTACCTGACTGTTTGACAATGGATATTGTGGAGCTACATGGGAAAGCAGTACTCGTAGCAAATAAAAAATTAAAATCAGTTCCTCTGGACATTGACATACCTAATGTAGCAGTAGTTTTAGTCATAATAAAAAGTAGAACATTTTTAGTAACTTCTATTTATTCTCCTCCTAGCGAACCTCTTCCTACTACAACCATGTCATCGTTAATAAGTCGTTCAAAGGATTTCATTTTTTGTTGAAGATTTAAACATAGGTTTTCGGGCACGATAAATCTCGTGGTAATGTTTGTTTTGTCAAAACATATATTATCCGAGGAAAAGACACTATTATAAATAACAAGAAGATTTTTCTGTAGTCAATCGTCCTCAACATTTACGAAATACAAAAAATTATTACTTTTAACTTTTGAAAAACTGAGTTCTTTCTTAAAAAAAGTTATTCTCAAAAATCGGAAAAAGGATCGTATATTTTGAGATAGGACAATATTCTTAAGCCTTTTTTGAATAGCCTATGAAAGATGAAAGGGTATTTGAATTCTCCAAAATCGAAAGGGCTATGAGAAAAACGTTCGAATCAACAATGATCTTAAAGATCTTTTGGAGTCCTTGCCAATACGCTTGCGTTTTTGAGATAATTTAATATGGAAAAAGAGTCCGAATTTTAGCCGTGTGCACTAATACTTCACAGTGTAAAGAAACATAATATTTGAGTGTGAAAGCTTCTCTGATAAGCCCTGATAATGTAACGTATATTTTTAACGTTGTCTGTTCGTATATCCAAGGCATAATAAATAAAACCTTTATATATCAATCGAAAACCGAGAAAGTGTACTGCAAAATAATATAAACCTCAATGAGAAAAGACTGAGCTATGTATGAGAAAGGATGCAAACAAATGTATCTAGAAACTTTGTCGTACGCCGTTAGATTATAGTTTACAAAATTCTGCCAATTTTAACTTTTATTGTAATTTCGTTTATTTTTACAAATTAATATAAAAAAATTCTTTTGCATTGATGCAAAACAAGAGAAAATAAAAAATAGAATTTGGATTTGACTAGATTTGACATATTGTACAGCTATTTATTATAATAATATACAATCTGCTGCTCTGTTCTCTAAATGAATCCAGTCGAATATTCATCTGTACTCACGTCCAGACTGTTCTCAGCATCATATATCATTGAAGAAGGAGAGTTTTGATCATGCGACCAGTGATTTGTACTCATTGTATCCTGTTGATCTAAAATTAAAAGTTATAATTGAATTACTACTTATATTGAATCGCAACTTATTGAGTTACTAAATTGACTAGAGATTATATAGAATCTGTTAAGAGTTTTTATTTAGTGGAAGCAATCAAGTTCGAAAATGTCTTCAGTTATTTTAGTTTCAGAAATTAACTTATCATCCTTCATAGTAAAAAACTGAGAAGCTAAAAATACAGTTCTTGTCTCTTTCCTAATCACAGCTCATTTTTTTTTGTCATTAATGAAAGTATCATAGTACCTGTTGATGAAAGATTGAGTGTATCAATTAGACTAATAGTATTATTTGCTAGCGTAGTAAATATAGACGAACCTGAATTTATACACGGTTTTTTCTTCATTCTCGCTCTAGCATTTTGAAACCAGATTTGTGTTGTTCTTTTAGTTAGACCTAAAATTTGCAAATAAAACATATCTTCATTTTTATCCGATTTAGCCAGGTAGATCATTTCTCTTTGAGTGAATAGAAATAAATAGATAATGTGTAATCGATAATGGCGATTAGGTTTACATTGATTTTTATTCATGCCAACGTTGCGACAGCATGATATGAAAATCAGTATTAACGAACATACCGAATCAAAACCGTAATAACGGGAGTAGAAGATAGAGCTCTCGATTCTTAATCCACATCTCTTCATAACTGAAACAAGCGATGAAAGTCTTTGAAAGTTTTTATTTTTCTGACTACTGAAAAATGTAAAAATATTGAATTTCATAATAATCCTGAAATAAAACTATTTATCCTTGCTCTCTACATCCGAAAACTAGAACTTTTAGTACGTCACTGCATTGTCTTTTAATTTATCGGCATCATCTACCATTATACTTAAGCTTATTCGTTGTTGTTGTTTTAGCTGTTGTTGATGGCAAAATTCGTGCACGTTTTTGTCGCAGAATTTCTTTTGTCTTGCTCGAGTATTTTGAAAATAAACTTGAATAACCCTTTTACTCAAACCTAAACAGAATGACTTATGGATCGGTAATCTTCTTTTTTTTAAAAAGAAAAAGAAAAAGTACTTTTAGCAAGCAGTTCAATAGCGCGACAAAAACGAACATAATCGATGCACAACAGCAACAAGAATAATCGATGAGATAATGTTTTCTACTCAAAAGAAAGCGTCATTTTGTTTGAAAAGAGAAATAATAAACCAGTTGAAATGTGTTTGAAAATTTTTGAAACGAGTGAGATACGCCTGTGAATACATAAGTTTTCCTCCTTAAACAATTTTCAAAGAGAATAAAAATGCACGGGAGCGCATTGGAACGTCCATCTGCGTAAAAAAGTTATCTCATAAAAAGTTTTTCTAACCATTGAATTTTAACTAAACTACAACCTTTATTATTCCAAAATATCTTTCTATCTTTTTGATCATTTAAAAACTTGTTTTGGCTTACCCGTAATCTGTGCTATTCTCTCGAGATCTTGTCCATCTGGATTTGAATCTACTTCGAAATTTGATTGCAATACTTGAAGTTGCTCCTCGGTGAAAGTTGTTCGAACTCGCTTGGCTTTGCCATGTCTTGAATCTAAATGTAATTAAATTTAATAAATTTCAAGAAATTAATTGTTTCTTTTTCTCTTGCCTCTATCTTTACCATCATTTTCAGAATTTTCACAGTAGTGAGTTTTACATAGTACGGCAGAATCTATTAATGCAAATTCTTCTCCAGTAGATAATTGTCTTTTACATGAATTACAAGCAAAACAAGCCAAATGATAAACATGTTCTTTTGCACGACGAACCCAATCACTTGGCTGAATATTTCTATCACATTTTGAACATTTTATACTGCTGTAACGTCTAAGCGGATAAAATATAAAGATATATCTAGAGTTATAAGAGTTAGATAAAATTACTTGTAATAATCTTGACGACAAAATATTTGAATTCCTTTGATAAAACATGATTTTTGAGATTCGAGCGATAGTTTGCAAATTGTACATTGAAGACATTCTTCATGAAATAATTTATCAGCTACACGAAGATAATATTTGGACAAAATACTATCACCACATGAGGTACATACTACAATATCAGCATTTACCTAAAAATAAAAAATACACTTCCATAGTTACATAGAAGGATATCAATTTAGTGCGAGAAAATTATTTTTTGTGCCCGGCTTTTTCATTTATTTGTGCCCGATGCTACTGATTAGTGCCCGGTCCGGGTACAAATAAATGTTTTCACATTTTTGTGCCCGGAAAAAGAAATGTGCCCGTCAATTGCATTGATTAGTGCCCGGTTTACGATTTTTAATTGAAATTTCAAGAAACAAGAATTTTGTGCCCGGTTTGTTCGCGAGACTCTGTATTTAATGGATACTACCAAAAAAACCAATTAAATATGTACAACATGATAATGTTAGCGACATAAAGCTGATGTTGCCTTTTTGGGACGTCCGCGTCGTTTACCTAAATCATCTAGTTTTCCTGGAGCCAATACTACATAAAAACCAAAATGCATCATAATTCCAACTGCATGTTTGCAAATATAAGTTTTCAAGTTGGTCTTGCATGAACACATTATAGGTATGGTGACCAATCTTCCAGCATACAACCATGATGAGAACTCATCAAATTGAGTCCAAGGCATTGTGTTATAAGCATGTAGCCAAGTACTAGATGTATATTGTTTACAATATGATGATGGACATATTGCAACATGGGTATGGCCGTACCAGTACAAAATCGAACTCTTATCCAGACCATTCTTCCATTTCCATGTAAGCAAAAGTTCCTTATACAACATGGACATTTGTACGATTGAATCTACTTATATACATTGTTATCATTTTCACAAGACAGTCGTGATAAAATCGGGCACAAAACAGTGATTTTCTTCTCTTTCTATTTAAAAAATGAACCGGGCCCAAATCGGTGAAAAAACCAGGCACATTTCTTTTTCCGAGCACAAAAGCATGAAAACATTTATTTGTACCCGGACCGGGCACTAATCAGTAGCATCGGGCACAAAGAAATGAGAAAGTCGGGCACAAAAAATTCTCACCCATTTAGTGCTGAAAAACGTATATAGTACACACTTTCAATTATGATATCTACATATTAACTACTTATTAAACTTGAAATGAAATTCACTCACTTGTTCATTTTTCACTTCATTCATTAACAACTGCGTAATCTAAAATGAGAAAGAAATGGAATAGTAGAAAAATATAGAACAAGAGTATAGACCATGATTGAAGATAGAAAGATTTACGGAGAGCCGATCAGTGTTTACCTTCGTTGTGTGAATTTTGAACGTTTCTCTGTATTCGGTATTCACTTCCATCATGTTAAAATTATATTAGTAAATCTTCTTCACTTCCATTATCATTCACACTATAGTTAAAAAATCTATTTTGCATGTTTGAATTTTATCCAATCTTTTCTCGTTTCTCGTTTAATAAAGAGAGAGAGAGAGAGAGAATTTAATGAGAAGAAGTAAAAGAATAAAAACGTTTGCATTTTTTCTATATAGACCAATAGAAAAGAACAAAATTAATACTATGAATATAGATGCAGAAAACTTGAATAAATTTTTTTATTGCCATTTTATATAGATATTTTGATTTTTTTGAAAGACTTATTATCGATGAAGAAAACATCCTTTAGGGTCTTTCACTAACGAAATAAAATTAAGGAAGTCTTTATTCCAAAACGTCTCTCTCTCTCTCTCTCTCTTTATACAAAGAAAAACTAAACCCAGAGGGGGAGGGTCACACTAAAGGATATTTCTGTTCGATGAATAACTAACGTGAAAGAGAGGCTTCTTCGTGAATATTGCACTAAAATGGTGCACGGAGGATGAATAAGTGATCAGAACAACATTCTCAGTATTCCAGTCTATGATGATTATTTTTGCAACAGAGAAAATATTGTGGAGAGAAATTCTCTGCAACTTATGGAAACTAAACCATAAACTGTCTCACAAAAGAAAAATGTAATTTAGAAGCTAAAGAAGAATTGCCAAATTGTGGAATGAATCGTAATATTAATTTTTTTGTCTCGTGCTCAGTTGTAATGGTCTCTAATTAAATAATGAGGGATATTATTTTCTCATCAAGTACCATGCAGTTTTAGTTTACTCTATTCATCGTAATTATAATCTAGTCATGTTTTGAATGTAAACTACAGTTTTTCTGTCAGTTTTCTGCTCAAGCACAAATTGGCTAGCGAAAACAGCCAGATGTTTTAAATTTTTGTAAATATTTCAAATTTCAAAAATCATAAAATTTATTTTCTCTCTTTTTGATAATATGTCTCCTTATAGTATAATATGTTTTCTTCACTTCTAAAAAAACTCTGATATAAAATCAGTTTATAAAAATACAAAGTCTGTTAATAAGAGTGCAATCCTTGACAGTGCTTAATTCTTGATTTTTTTCTCTCTTATTCTTGTTCATTACTGTTGTTCTTTCATATTCATCGTGTTCATCATTATTAGTTTCTTATCCCTCCTCCTGTGATACACTCAGCGGCATCTCTCAATGTTCTTTGACATTCAACAATACTGAAGATTTTGTCTGTTTTTATATTTAAACCAAGCTGTTCATGTATTTTCTCAACATTGAAATA